GTGATGCACTTATTTGCTTTTCCACCAGAGAGCTCAATTTGTTACTTCGCCAGGGTTTTTATGAGTTTGGTTGTAGCAGTTTTCTAATCAGAGTGTAAGAATTAAGGGACCAAACGTTTCCTTAACGTACCCAACTGAAACTGCTCAGATCCCTCAGCTTCTCCCCTAGCACTACTGGCTCTTGCACCAAAACAGCATAAAAAGCCCCTTTTCAGATACAGAGGCAGGAAAAATCACATTTCCAGTGACAAAGAAAAATTCAAGGGTCCCTGCACCATATTACTGCTCTTAATTTCAGCTCTGAAGACAGACAGATTTGAAAGACCAGCCATCTGGCAAATAATCAATCTTCTACAGGGACTCTTGTTTTAATTATGAAGACACAAGTAACTGAGATCACGAGTTGATTAGAAGTTGCCAGGGACTGTGCCTATTAACACATTTCACAAGAGAGTTGCTTTACTTGATGTGCTCTTGGTGGCCGGACCCATTCACGGTTTTAGCTCCCCAGCGCTGTTCTTTCTCACTCACATCGTTCTGTGAAGGACACACGTAAAAAGAGAGTTAAAACCCCAAAGGAATCACTAGTCACACACATTTCAGAGCCCACAGCAAAAGCTTCCAGCAGTCACTGAGACCACAAGTGCTGGAAAAGCAGCTTCACTTCCCCTCCACTCCAGGGACATGCTCCTGACAGTTCATTTGGCCAAGACACATCCCCCACCCTGCAGAGCTCCTTTGGAACTGCCCCAGAACAAGTTCCTGGTGGATCAGTAAACCCCAAAAGCCATACCACAAAGTCTGGATCTGTCTCCCAGTCATCAGCTCCATCATCCTGGCTGACAGACACGGTGTGGCCTGCAGTAGCCTTCCACATCTGCAACACCAGCAGGAGAAGCAGGGTCACGCTCCACTCACCTGCCAGCTCATTTGATTCGTGCAGGAGCTGACAGAGGAGATGCAATCCAAAATTCCCAATAAAGTATGTTATTTAACCACATCACCAAAAGCTGTGCTTGCAGTGAAAACAGGTTTGACCACTGGAGCCCAGGCTGTCTTCTCAAGCTGGCTTACAAACCTGTTTAACTCTCCCATCTGCACTGTAAAAAGATTAGGAGCAATTGCTGTTTCAAGAGAACAAAGTCACCTTTCTTTGCTCAAATTAATGTGTGCCTTTTGTGCAGTCACTGCACTCAAAGACTTCTGCTCACACAGGTTTCCAAGCCAACATGCACTTCCAAAGACTGCTGCTAATTCTGGATCCTGTGCATACAATTAAGGTGCAGGAATAGGTGATTTTTTTCCCCCCAGGCATTAAAAACGGTGAGCACAACATTGTTCTTCACCTGCATTACACCTGCACAACCTCCTCTGCCGTGCAGGGACTTCCAGCACTGTGACAGAAATCCCACAACTCTAAGAATTTGCACACAACCCCGAAACTGCTCCAACAACAACAGAGAACAGGAGTGTCTGTGCTCCTCAGGTAATCCCCAGTGAAACACGGTGCTCACAAACTCAGCACCTTGTCTGGCTTTCAGGAGAAACAGAGGGTGACTGCAGACTCATTAAAAAAGCAAAAAAATTAGTTCTAGAAACAACATCCAGCACTTTCAAGAGGTTAATGATTTGGGGCCTCTCAGTTTCTGGAAACTTTATTCCCTTGGAATTATCAAGTTGGATGCTTTTAATTAACAGTTCAGCTAGTTAGCAGAATTCCTGATCTTCCTGGTGCTGGTGGCTGGATTTTACACCCTTTATTCTACATAAATCAAAACAAATGCATTCTAGAAAGCAAAACTGAAACATCAAACTACAAGGTGCCTTTTCTCCCAGCTTTTTCAGAACACACTTCAGAGACATGATTTTATTTTTTCTTTGCTACTCAACTAGAGTTCAGTTTTTTAACATAACAGTATTCTGTCCACTTACTTTTATCCTGTATCAATTAAGAACAGATTACAAAGATAATTATCATAGGCTATTTAATTCACACAAGCATAATTCAGTGGGCGGGATGAAAACTCATTCCCTCTTAAATGCATAGCTAATACTCCCTGGGTAAAGTCCACAGCTCGTTCTGTCAGGCTTGTTCTGCAGCCTGGCAGAACGAGCTGATGAGCCACTTTTATGGAGCATTTCAGAAATTTCAGGACTGGTAACGTGAGTGAGATGAGCTGGAAAACTGACAGTCAAACACCAAGGTAGCAAATGCTGGAGTAGCTGGGAAGAAGGCTGTAAAAGCAGAGCAGGTGACATATTAACAGTATTAGCACATTTCCTCTCATGTTTTTTCAGGTCTCCCATCTCCAAATTCCTCTGGCAGTTAAGGAACTAACCTTTATAATAGTACCTCATACCCAAAAAACTTCTGAGACTGTGAACCTTTAGAACACAGGTGGTTTAACGTCGTCCTTAACATACTCTGTCTAAAGCCTTCTCTCACATGACTGTGTCTGATTGTCCTACTCTTTCCTACTAAAATCCAATCTCTCACCAAAAATCCCTCAAAGGCCTTGGAAAGTAGAACCCAACCATCTTTATAATAATGAAATTCAACATGGGTCCAAGTTCTTCCTAACTTCTCCTAAGGGGCATGTTCTGTATCCATCCTTAGGAGCTCCACCATGCTGTGCAAGATGTTTGGGAATGGAATTCAAGTGATGAGAGCTGGCTCGGGTGCTGTGTATGGTGAGTTTCTATATGCTTTGTGCCAAACACAAGTACTTGTTTCTTATGTTCACTTGACTGATGTATTTTGTTCATTCAGCTGTGCTTGGACATTTCAAAGAACAAAAGCTGGATCCTTCAGTCTAGGTTTCACCGCTTCCTCCTCAAGCTCTCACAAACAATAGCGCAGGGAAGAAGGACTTCACACGCACCCCCGTGCAAAATCCAGCATCCACCACGATTCTCTCCAAATCATGCGCACAAACGCCAACATTTTTCCCCAGCTCAACCCCGCACTCTGAATTCCACAAGGAGCAGAGCAGCCCCGGCGGCCGGGGCTCCCTCCCAGCCCACAGCCAGCAGGAATAAGCCTGGTTTCCGCCTGCTATTCCAGCACCGATTCCAGGGCAGAACGAGGAGAAACACGATCTATTCATGACTCACAGGCTCACGTGGTCATGATTCCTGAAGGAAGAAGCAAACGCTACGGTTCGAACACAAACCCAAGCTAAATATATGCCTCGAATGCATGCGCTGCCCGGCGCTGCTATGACTAATCGGCACACACATCATCCTACCCAGCACCTTCAGCGGCAGCCTCGGCACGTCCCCGCTGCCCGGGCCTAGGGACGAGCTCGGGCAGCAGTGCCGAGGCTCGGGGCGCAGCTGAGGGCAGCGGGGTTGGCCGGGCCCCACGGCCTGAGCCCGGCGCCGCGGGCGGGGGCTCCGTCCTGAGCGGCTCCACCACCGTGGGGAGCCCCCGCCGCAGACGCTTCCCTTCAAGTTCCCATCTTCGGAGTTGAAATAAAATTTTTTAAAAAGAAAAAAAAAAAAAAAAAAAAGACACCGAGTCGCGACGCCCCCCGGCTCCGCACTGCGCTCCCCGGCCGTGCCCGCAGCCCCCGGCCCGGCTTCCCTTCAGCCCCGCCGCGCTTACTCTGCCCCTGCCGCCGCCTCTTCCTCGGCGCTGGCTCACCGCCGGTGCTTCCCGGGCTGGCGGCGGCTGCTGCTGCTGCAATTTCCGCTTCTCCCGAGCTCCCACTTCCTCTTCCCGGCTCCAGGTGGGAGCGGGACGGGCTCCGCTCCGCCCCGGCGGGAGGGGCCGCGCCGGCGGCTGTGGGAACGCCGCCTCCCCCGGCCGGCGGGGCTCCGACCCGCTCCAACAACCATAAACGCTTGTTTCTGGAGCTGCTCCGTCCCCTGTTTCTTTCCGCCGCTCAAAAAATGCAGCATCAGTAGTTTTAAAATGGCCACAGGGGAGTTGCTGGTGCAGCTGTGAGCATCCTTGTTTTTTTAATACCCACTTTTGCACCGTCATGTTTTGGAAGTCGCATCTACTCCGTCCCCAGGGGTTTTCATCGCTTTTTATCAGTGGGCAAGAGGTTCCCCCGTGGCTGGGATCTCATCAAATGAAACGGATGTCAAAATGGAAACGACGGGGGTTTAAAACACCGCGGAATGAGGTACTGGTTTGTTAGCATCTTCTAAAGGAGGGGAAGACCCTAAGGAACGCTATTTCTAGCAAATAAAACCATTACAGATAAACACACAAATTCAAGCTGTAATAGAGGGCAAGATGATAAAAAATCCAGGTGAACACAAGAAAAACTTAATTCCAAATGTAGCCAGTTCATGTCATAAATAGGTCCATTACTTTTTTCCTGGATTACATGCAGTGCGATTTACCCCATAAACTGAATACAGCATATTTGAAAAGGGCTGAATTTACTCCAAAAACAGTCTGCTAGAGGGGAATACACGTGCAGAAAACCTTAATCCTTTAGGCATTACTTCTCTCTTCTGTGTCTTTTTGAAGTCTTCACCTGTCCCTCCATATAGAGGTAGAAATACCAGCCACATTAATATATCCTGTAAAACCAAAAGGTGCTGCCACTTCAGTTAACTACAATTGCCCTTTCCCTCCCAAGTCCCCTACTATTCAGAAACAAATTAACAAAATGTAGAATAACTTGTGCACCAAAGCTACAACCCTGACAGTGGGAAGTGCAAAACTTTCATTTTAAAGGCAAAGTGACTCTTTAGCTTCTTTTAAAAGTACCACCCCCAAACAGAGTGTCAATTTTTATTTACCTGAAAATTAATTTTACTGCCCTTCCGTCTCAATCTTTAGCCTACCAAGCTCCAAAAATAAATTCCGCTTTGAACTAATTTACCTGTTCTCCAAATCCTGGCATGATAAATCACTACTGTCCACAAGACAAGACACTGCTACAGCAGTTTAAAAGACAGAGTTAAACACCTGTTTTGAGAGTCCCTGTCCTTTAAACATGCAAAGTTCAAAGTTCACTCAGATAATTCTGAAGCACGCAGACAGGATGCATAGTTTAATTTTTACAGCGCTCTCTCCAACTGAAGCCTTTAAAGACATTTGGCAATTCACAAAACGTTGTATTTAATCAAGCATTATCTAAAGATCACTGTAACAGACCCAGGTGCCTTTTCCACATGCGCAGTTTTCTTTCAGCAGGGTGTGTGGGAGTTACTAAAATTGAGCAAGACACGTTTTTCTGGATCACTCCGGCACAGCTCTGCTGAGCAACTCAGAAGGAAGTCACCACACACAGTTTTGCCAGTTTGTGAAAGCTTTCACCATTTCACTCATTTATTCTACCTCTCACGTCAGTTCCATTGTTCCATAACAGTTAAGGTTTTACAGCCTCAAAATAATAAACGCATTTTCTGTTCACATTTCACAAGTCTACCCCGCATTGGTTTCACTTTTGAGAAGCAACAAGACATGACTTTGAACACCTACTATCACTCACATCAGTGACCAGCAACGCCTAGGCAAGGTTTCTCTAAACAGCAAAGTTTAGTGAACAGTGAGTCAGGATTTCCTTCTGCAGTTCCATTTTAGGTTTTTTTTTTCTAGAAAGATAGATTCTCTGAGAATATAAAAGAGACTGCAAATGAACAGACAGCAACTTGTACAGACAAGCCAGACAAACAGAGATGCATCACTGAATAAGGTTTAGAGCGTCCATGGCAGTGTTTCTCCAGGCATTCCACATCCTGCTGTCGATCTGAGGACATGATGAAATATGCTGCACAACTCCTTTCATTATTCTGCAACTTTATCCCTCTGTCTTGTACTCAATGAAATGGTTTACAAATATATCAAAATTGACATGAACAGCTTATTGTGACCCCATTTTGCACTGGTTCCCTCAACTCCTGTGTTTCTCCCCAAATATCACTATGGCCATGATTTCATTTTATTACCAAAGCAACAGTTGCTGCTGTCTAGGACAGCATTTCCATCTTCACCATGTGGACCAGAATACACTGAAGTTGTGTGTCAGGTCTGGTTTATTATTTTAAAAAGCAAATCATAGCTCTAATGATGAGCAGAAGTAGGCAATAAAGCAGTTTTTTTTTCCAGAAAACTGACATTAATGCATGTGAACTTGAACAATTCCAAAGAAAATGTCACATCTAATGGAATATTTTTGCTACTGGAGAAAGGTCATCATTTGAAACCAGATCTACAGGGCAGCAAACAATCGTTAAGATGCTTTATTGACAATATCCACTCACTGCAAAAGTTTCTGCCTGCATACAATTAGATCTTAGCTTTTCCATAGTGTTTTATTGGCAGTGAAAAATGCATCAGTACTTTATCGAAAGCAATAAATAATACTGTGATAAAAATAGTTCAAAAGTAGACTGTACATATTGTTACATAATCTGAAAATACACAAAAGATTAATAGAAAAACAGAACAGTAACAATGAATTTCAGTTTTACAAGCAAGTTAAAAGTGGAAAACAAAATAAGAAAAAAGACATGCTATATATATTGTTGCATAATAAATAATGCACCATCTGAACAGATTCTTGCTGGCTTCTTAATATGCCATTTACAAGTGTCAGATACATTTTCTACTCATACAGTCCAAAATGGCTACAACCATCCAAATTAAAAGTCCAGACAAGTCTTTAGAACAAGTTTACAAAACACATAGGATGACTTACATAAGAAAAGTAAGGCCTTTATTAGAAGATGCACTGCTTTAGTTTTCAGCCCATTGTACCTTCATCTTTCACTACTCACTTGACAGGAGGCTGCAGTGCTTTAGGATTGGTCCATTAAAACTGGTTCCACCAGCATTTTCCACCAAGTGTTTTCAAGCAAAAAGGTCTAGGACAAAAAAAAACCTCTCTGTGGCCTGTGGCTCACGACCAGGAATCATTACGAAGTCTATCTTCCTCAGGGAAGGAAAAGCAAAAATAAAAACAGTCCTCGGTTTATGGCTTGTTTTCAGTCACTGCGAAGAGTCGCTACGCAAACACAGCAGAGGGTGTTAGGACTGAGGCAATCGCTCCTACAACGCATCCCGCAGGCTGAGGAGTTCCTCCCAGCTTTTCAAACCAGTTCTACTTCAAATAAAGACAAATTGCCACTACTTGACACATCCTCTGTGTGGAAAGGTACAGCTCTGAGAAGAACAACACTCATGTACCGTCCCCCCTACATCAACAAAGGCTCACCTGAAAAAAAGCTGGACTTGTTTTCAGATCTAAGCTAAGAGCTCCAAAAGACAAAATATATACTGCTCGGTGTCATGATACTCTTACAAAGGTATTAAAATCCTTTTCACCTTCAGTTCCATTATTAAAAAACAATGATAATTACAGTTACTGCATAATTTACAAAAACCCTATATTGCTCATAGGGACATATACATACAAGCATTACAGTACATTCAGTTGGAAAGACTAAAATTAGAATAAAAAATCAGCAATGATTTGATTTGTAGACTGAATAGAAACAGAAAAAGTAAGTAACTATATAAATGACAAGTCACATAAATATAAGAAACATTTAGATTCTAAAATATTTTCTCTATAGTACTCATGAATTTATTTGCTAATTAAAAACTCTGTAATAAAATATCTCAAAGTGTCCATTTAACAAGTATTAACAGGTTAAGGGTTCCAAATGTTCAAAATGCTGCATATCACCGGTAGAAATAGTGTGGGTAAACTGCAAAAACAACAAACAAAAACAACACACAAAAAGAGAAAAACACAGAAGATTCCATTAGCAGGTTTTAACCACCATTGCATTCCATGATTGTCACAAACAGCTCAGCAGCAGTGATGAACTGAATTACTGCCATGCCATGCTGGATATCACTTTATTGCCTCCTGCAATCTCCAGCTGCAATGCAAATAAAGCAATGAGGGCAAATGTTTCTGCCTCAAGGATTTCCATCCCACGTCATCTGACTACAGAAAATCCTGAACCAGGGAGGAGAATCTGGCGGAGAGTCTTAAAACTCCAGTTCCTTGCAACTAAAAATACTTTAAAGAGAGCCCCTGAGATTATATATGAACTGACACGCTCGTGTGGTCTGAACTGCTACATGCAGGAGTTTCCTCTCTCAGCATTTCACATGTAAGAACTCTTTAGAACTCAACTCATACATGCAAAAAGGTTCTGAATTTGAGGAAGCAAATACATGAGTTGGAAGGGATGCTACCAGTAAGAAGAAAGACACTGCAAGCAGAGAAGACAAGCAATTTAGAGTCCAGGAAAGATACCAGTGAGGGGGAAAGATCCACTGAGTTGATTTTTTAAAATTCATTGTAGTAAAAAAAAAAAAAAAAAAAATTGTTTTTGGGCTTGCATGCAAAATGAGGGAAGTGCTGTGCCATGAGAAAATACAGCAGAGGCTGCTGCAGAAACATTCCAGATCCTGGAGAAAGACAGGACTACAGCTCTTTCACAAGCCAGAATACATGGATTTTGTTACAACACATCAAGCTGCTTTTTATCAGCAGCACTGCTCCTCAAATTGAGGCTGCATGTAGCTAAATCCAAGCAGCCAGCCCAAGCAATCACAGTGGCATGGAGTGTCCAGGAACTGGGAAACTGCAATTATCCCAGTAACAATTCAGTACTGAAGCATGTTTTAGTGGGACAACTCTGACCAAGCAAAGACTTTGAGAGATCAACAATCTGAGCTGCAGTGTCACACACTGGATTATTTTCTTTTCATCCCTAATTTATTCTCTGCCCCCCTCCCCACTTCCACTAGCTGTGCTTCATCCAACCTTTGATTTAAACACTTTCTACAGATCTGTTTAGCACAGGTCCTTTTTGAAGCTGTTTTAAAAACCTCACAGGAACACAGTGCTGACAAAACTTAGTATTTCAACATGCAGTCTTATTGTAAGAAATAAACTTGGGATTTCCAATATAATGACCTACCCTGAAAACCTGCACTATTTTCTAAGTGTGTAAAACCACCGTAGGAAAATCCCTGCTGTTTTATTTCATAAATAGCTGCTTCAGTGTTATTCCTATCAGCTTTACTCACCAGGAGAAGGCTTTAACAGGAGTAGGTCCTTACTGTGGCAGAATCCAATCTTTGTGTTCCTGATACACTGCCTATTCCAAGAAGCATGGGAAGACATGCAGAACATAGCATGCATGTTAGTTTTCAAAACAAAAAAAAAAAAAAAAAACCCTCCACAGCAATGGTGATTACAGCTTTGGTACTCACCCAACTCTAAGGTTACAAGTTAGAAAAGCAGAATTTATTTTACAGTTTGTATATTAACCACTTCTTGTTCCACAGGCTAACAAAAAGTATTCTAAAAATAAAATCTGTTTGCCAACTAGCACAGAGAAATTGACAAAGGTGATTTTCTTACTACTTTATGTAGTTCGTAAATGTCTAATATTTCAAAAACAAAGTGGTTTTACATGGTAAAGACTTAACTTATTTTCATTTACAGAATTTTCCACATGAATTTTGGTAAATATTTTGTGCTAGTGACAGTATCTAAAATTTAGAAGAGCTTACTGAGAGTAGCATCAGATGCAAAATTTGTTTTTTTGAGCTTTATGAATAAATAAGCATTTTCAGAACCTGAGACAACTCCAACAGATTGTGCTTTCACCCTGCCTGTCCCAATAAAAAAAATTCATATTTGTTTCTGTGTGTCTTTTGTAAACTAAGTTCAAGTCAAAGTTTATTCTTATGTTGCTACAGATAATGGTTCTTAAACAGACAAGATCCCTCATGTGACAGGTGATCAACCTCCACTTCCAGGTGGGATTTTTGGGGTCTGCTTTTGCTAGTTTGGGTTTTTTTAACTCACATCTGTCTGTGCACACCTATATCCACAGATCATTAATGAATGAACAGCAATGAATAAAACAGTGATTTCAAGTATGGTCATACTGAGGTGATCACTGCAGGGGGGGTAAATCACCTGTTACTGAAGTTTTACTCATCTCAAAATTATCTGAGGGGATTTACTCACATCATTTTTGAATGCATTTTATTGCATTTCAGAAGTGGGGTTCATATTGATCCAATTGCTGCTAATCAGAAATTATGCATCATGTGATTAAAAAACTCCTACTAAGCTGTCATTTTACTTTCCTAAATTACATTTATTTCTAGCTATGATTCCCATTTTGTTACTCCAGTGATGTAAAAAAGAAACTGCACCTCTAGTACAGCTTCCTGAAATGACAAAGCACCCTATGGTTAAACACAGTGTTATAAATACAACCATGCACAAGGCAGATGCTTTTATGCAGCAAAAAGGTCATTTGGACTTAATTCCTCTGGAATCTCAGGCAAAAAAAAAAAAGAACATCATGCTTAAAATTATACAAAATCAATACCATCAATCTGCATCTTCTTTGGCTGCATAGAGGGTGAAGACATTGAGGTTGTAACTCTGAAATTTGCAGGAAGAGTCTCTGCTGATCCAGCAGCTAAACCTCTTATGTCCTTTGGTCTAAACTTCTTTCTCCACGAAGGTGCTCTCCTAAAGCTCTTATCATCATCCTGTCATATTGACAAACAACATTAGTGCAAAAAGTGTGGGATTGTTACTGACATTAAAAGGATTACTGACAAACTTAAGTAAATGTATCACCACTGAAGGTAATTGTGAAGAAATAAAAAGTAAGTGTATCAAATACTGCATTGCCAAGCAGAGTTTTCCTTAAGCACTTAGGTAAATGTAATTTAATTACCCAAGTGCATTTTCCTTCCCCCATTAATATATCTGCATCTTTCAAGCAATATTTCCACCTCAGAAATATAATGCTACACTTACTAAATACAGTTTAAGTCCCACTTCCAAAAAGATCTTTGGTAGAGAAAGTATTGTATCAATGCAAATACGCGCACTGGGCAGCTTCATTTGCCAGCTTCCCATTTAGAAGCAGCTCAATCCTTTGAATGCTGTTTTACCTCAGATTTATTCCCCTGTACAATTAGGAGACAAGTGTCTATATTGTCTGGAGAGATCTTCATGATCAAACTGCCCTGTGCCACTAGAACAGAGCAAACATCTGTTCCCTTAAAGCTCTTTTTGCAGTTTGAAATTGCCAAGGAAAATACTTTAGAAAACCATCAATGCTTTGTGATGGCTGATTAAAACCTTGGTAGAGATGCACATGGGAACACAGCTGTCAGGAGCTTCCCCTTCCCCTGTCCTCTTCCTCATCCCAGCACCAATGTTTTTGAGACTGGTTTCCTGAGCTGGTTAACCACAGAATGGTTTTGTCACTTCAGCCTTAATCTGGAACACTTCTGCCTACATGTGCTACTGCATCAAATCCCATCAGCACCAAAGATGAGGCAGCATGGAGTTAATTAAGGCTCTCCTGGGGAAGTAACACCAGCTTGAATCTGTCCACTGAGCAACCTACAAGGTAAAAGATGGAACACTCTCTCCTCCATGCTGTGGTTGCACAGAACAGCCTAACACTTAGAGAGTTCTACACTCATTTCAATGCAGTTTGTACAATAAGATCACAGGCTGCCCAACAGAAATTACTTTGATGTGTAAACAGACCTGGTGGTCTTCTGCACCAGTATGAATCAAAATTAACATAAAAGTTCTTAAAAATCACTCAAAGCTCTTTGAAATACTGTTCTTTAGGATAAAGTGCCTTTCTCTATCACAGCTTGTTCATTGTAATGCTGGTCACTAATTTTCCCATATTTTAGATAAAGAGGATTCAGCCCAAAGTGCTGCTATTAGACATTAACCACACGAGCTAGAAAACCAAACTTGCAAATCTTCCCAGTACTTTCATATTCAAAGTCATCTTACCAAAATACACAAATCCTGCTGTATTTAGAAACCCTCAGAGACAAGGAGTTTCAAGTTAAAGTTTCTGTCACTATTCTGTCAAAAGCTTGAAGAGGTTCAGGCTAAATTCTTTCACTGAGCAGTTCTGATAAAGTTTCCAGGACCATAAAATGGGTTAACAACTCGAGTAACTTACTTCATCAAGTCTTCTATCAGTTCCCATAGCAAGGAGGTTATTGAATTCCCTCTCCAGAACAGCACGAGCCTGAAGTTTGTGGTATGAAAGAAATGGAAATTAATTCCAAAAGATTAGTAATTAGTAACCTATAATAATTTTAAAAACTTAATAGGACCCAAATTGTTTAGTGCTTTCTTATCAGATTAATAAACCTACTTCATACTTGAAAGGTCAGCACTTGAAAAGTTACAATTTAATTTGTAACTTATTAAAAATTTAAGGAAAACTTAACTGTGCTCCTCTATTTGTGATATGAAAGTTCATGACTCTGCCTCAAACTTAATTATTTCAGAGTAAAAACTAGCAAACAACAAAAATGATGAGTTTCACACTACTGTTGTGAGGATGGGCTGTGAAGAAAATACTCAAACAAATTTTTTCTCAAGCAAATTTACCAATGAGAATTGTTATTAACAACTAGAAAACCATTAGAAAAGCACAGTTTTAAGTTTTTGTCTTGTGTGACAATGGACAACCTTGCATCCATTTTTAACCTTCCTGGGAGGCCTAAAGTGCCTCGTCCTTGGTTACCTGTGTGTTTTGAGTGGGGATCTGCAGCAGGAGAGCTAATGCATTGTAATCAAAGGATTCATCTAAGGCCACAAGTGCGCCGTGAACGCCGCTCTCGAGCAGGTTATTCGCGTATTCCTTAAGGCCGATGGACACCACCCAGTGGATCATCCTCTCGTTGCTCCACACCAGGACATCTAGGGAGGCAAAAACACCATGCCAGACTCACTACAACACCACTTCTCTGAACCAAATCATCCACAGTCATGAACTGGATGATTGGAGTGGAGTGAAATGGAAAGTAAACATATTAGAAGTCTGCTGCAAGACATTTCACACCATAACTTAAATATTCCAAAGAACAATTCTCTAGATACAAGAGATGCACCCATTCCATTTGGTAGGTGAAAAACAACCTACCAGCCACAACCCTGGCTTAGTTGCTGCCAGTTAGCTGTGACTCCTGGGAAGGATCTCAGGCACAATTACCAAGTTAACTACCAAAATGTATCAATGCTTTGAAAGGAAAGGGAAAGAGCAGGCACAGAACCTTCTAAGCAAGTTTTTAGACTCAGATATCAGAAAATACTTCTGATATTAGGCAGGGAACAAAATTACTATGGGAAACCTTAGAGAACCATTAATTCCCACCCTACTTTCTCTTACTCCTTCTCTCTTGTACAAGAATCATCATGAATCTAGAAGATATAATTACCTAAGTCACTTGGACACATTTTCATCAAATGCTGGGCAATAAAATTACCAGCCACAAGCAACAATAAAATTATGCAGATGTAAAGTTATGTCAAAATGGGGGGGAAAGAAGAAAATAAGGACACCTCTCCCCCATCATGTCCTTAACTCTCATTCTCCTAAAACATTTAGTTTCAAACTTCAGAGCAGTATGAGTTTCGAAAATGTTCACATTTGTAGCATAAGTAAGAGATTTAATGATGTATTTTATCATTCAGTGTTCAGGGCCTACACTCAGACACGCCTTGTGCATTTAACACTTGATATTTTATAAACGGTTCCATCCTCTAAAGGCTTTTCTTTGTTTTTGAATCTTTGAGGCTGATCAGTGAAAACATGGCAGAATCAGACTGAGGTGAAGACAATGCACTAACCTTTAATTTCATTCTGGCTTTCTTCTCTTTTTCTTTCCAGTTCTTTTCGATCATAATTCAGTCTTCGGAGGCACATAATTCCACACTGAAAACTGTTCCTGTTTGGACCAGAGGGAAAAAAAATCAGAAAAAATATTTAAAGATAGTGGAAACACTTAACTGTGGGTGAGGTCTCCAGCTTCAGCCTCCTTACCTGTGAAAGCTGTCCACCATTTTCAGCTGCCCACGCAGGTCTTTTTTAGTTAAGTGATCCAGCATCCGAGCGTCCACCAGACATTCCATGAAGTAGCTGCGGTACTGAGGGAGCCCCAGGCTTGGCAGCCACTCATTGCCAATCCACTCGTGGTTCATGTCACCATAGGCTAATGTCTGGTTTGAAAAAAAAAATTAAGGGACAAGCTTATTGAAATGAGAAAAGAAAAGCTGGTTTAGACAGCATAGTTTAAAGAAATTGCTTATTTGATTCTTAGCCTGTAGAGATAAGCAGATCAGACTACTGAATACTATATGTGTGTTTTCCAAAGAAGTCACCCTCATGGAGAAAAGCAAGTTTAGATAGTACATCACCAACTAAAACTGCCCAATTTATATCAAGAAATAGCATGACAAAATATGCAAGAGCTAATAAAATTTTACAGAAAGACTAATCTACGTGGTTGGATAGCAAAAGCCATAGAATTTCATTGTGTTGAGATATTGTAAATACTCTCTCTCTTGAAAACTGGGGGGGAATCTTATTTTTCATGTGACTTTATAAAGAAAAGATATCAGGGAAATAACTGCAGGCCTTTTTATATACAGTTAGCTGTTTTCAGAAACTGATAAAACCCTGTTACCAAAGAACTAGCCATTCTAAATGCTAGTACTTATCCTAAAAGAGACTTTTCTCATTACAGTTTTGATCTGCAAATCACCAGGCATTTTTTTACAGAAAACATCTATAAAAGTAAGAGTTTGTAATCCCACATGTAATTACCCCTTAGGCAACGAAACCCAGAAGCTCCTTTCTTCAAAAGCATACTAATTCAGATTTTTCTGTTAAAAGGCAAAAGCTTTATTTCTGCTCTAAAGGAAGCACCTTCCAGAAAGGAGCAAGGCCACAAGGAAATGCACCTCTCCAAGCCATCAGAAGGTGGAAGAGTGAAAGAGCTCCTTACTCTGCACTTGCTATCACTGACAATCAACAAATGAGTAGCTGAGATGTAGTTAATGGGACTTAAACCAGCTTTAAGCTGGAGGGCAGCCAAGAAAGAAGAGCCCATGTCCAAAGACATGGATCATGGGTAAATCCCAAGTTACGTTTCTATCCCTGTATAAATACTCAGCTACATCAATGCTGGGGAATACAATTAGGATTTGCCTCCACTTTAAGGCAAAACAATCAATCAAGGGGAATTACAGAATTAGTGCATAGAAATCTACTTAACCATCCAGGCCCAGGGTATCTTGTGGCACACCTGGGATGGTGGCTGGGTTGGACAGGGACTTCCTATACAGAGCAGATATTCCTCTTGGAATTCTGGCTTCCTCAGAGACCCATACCCCAACAAAACATTAAAATATTTAAATCACATGTATTTCCCAAGTGTGCATTGTAGAGAGATAAAGCTGCAGTTTCCCCCTCTCCCAATCCCCAGGTCACATCCAGAATCATTAAAAGATGCTGGCCTAAAGGATAAACAGATTGTTTCATGCTCTAATGATTGTGACAGTTTACATACAGTCTGTAATATGAGATAAAGTTTCCAACCTGAGCCCAGCTTCCCTCCTCATCTTCCTGTTAGGTGGTTAGGAAAGCAAAAGAACACACACATATTAGTGGTTAAGTTTAGTAAGGAGGTCAAAGTTAATGGCACACTGCAAGACTCTAAATCTACTGTATACAAAAAAAAAATCTAGATAAACCAAGCATCATGCAATGTAAAAAATTATACACAACGCACTTTTTGTATGAGAAGTTGCAAACCCCATCTACTGATTAAGTTTTCTGGAGAGAAGAAATTTCTGCACCAATAATTCAATTTGTCTATTCGTCAATCAAGTCAGAGCTCCATTTTACAGATTAGAGTTTTGTTTACAATCTTATCAACATTGATTTTTTTTCTTCCTCCCTTCTGGGAAAAAAGCTATCAAGATGCAGATTGCAAGGTTAATAGTTAGAAGAAGCAACGATCCAGAGTTTTAGTGCATTAATTTGAAGGAAACAAAAAAAAAAAAAAGAAAAAAATACCAAAAGGTACTTGATTCAAATGTTCAAGAAGTGGAAAAAGCACTCTAAGGAAGAGAAGTGGCAACACTGTAAACTAACCGTTTGTTGTGTGGCTGTAAGATTTTCCATCTCTTCATGTGTTACCCAGACATTTCCCGTGGTCTAACATGAGCCCACAGGGAATCAATCCCATCCAGTGAAAGGAAAGCAGTAACAAAGAGGAGAGGTTGCAGAACAGATAAGCAATTGGTACATGTAAGGAGCAGGCATGGGCAAAGCAATGGTCTCTAGGTCAGCTACAGCTACTGACAATCATGGCATGCAATAAAAACCTACTCACAGGGATCAACTTCCTTCACAGATATTAACAAAACTGAACAGCACAAACAGCTGACAGGATTTAATTAATGGGTAAACATTCAGCTCTGCTCTAATCTGAAAAATACATTTGTAGCCTAGCACATAACCCCAGGAATAACTTTAGACTGCAGGGCAGACTGACTCATGAGAGAAAATTCCCACTACATGCCTAAATTTACTAGAGAGAGACAGGTGTCTCCTAGATCATGTAGTCTCAATTATTTGGAGTTAATGGCTTTACAGCTACATTAAAAGAGCCTCCAACTATCCTACAAATTTCCGTACACACTTGTAGACTTCATCTGTATTTTAAATTCTCTGGAGGCCAAAAGATGAGGCCAATAACACATACTCTAAATACTTTGGATTACATTCTTAGACTGAAATAAACTTCTCTATTCCTCAAGACAGAAAATTGTAGTTATTCCTTTAGCTAATTTCCATGAAAGGAAGGAACAGCCTATATTTAAATAATGTGTTCCTTTCCAGAAATTCATAAGAGAAGTTCAGTTCTAAGTTTACAGTCAAACGTGGGGAAATTCTAGGTGTTTTTTGCTGCATAAGTAAGTTTCCTTACCGTCCTTGAGGTGGGAGGGGCAGAGGGGCTGGTTAGGGACATGATTTCCTGGATAGCCAGGCGGAGCTTGAGCCTGTGCAGGGGATTGCTGATGCCAATTTCCCGCTGGATTTCCGTGTCAGACAGGGCTGACATGATAGCACCGCTTTTCACATTGGCTCGGCAGGCAGCCACGTACCAGGCTGGCATCCCCACCCACAGCTGGAACACAGAGAAGGAAGGAAACAGGCTATGGAAAACATTCCTGCCTCCAAACACACACAGCCTTTACAAAGTCTGTACATTGAGGGGGATTTTTATTCATTTTGGGAGGACTACTCACCTCCAGCCACACCACCACAGTGGGCCCATCCCACTGTGCAAAAGGCAAACCTTGTCTTCTGGCTTCCTCCAGCAACTCGTGCCTACAATTACAGAAACATCATTAGTTATAATGGATGTTACAATTCCAGCACTGCACTCACTTTACTATCTTCTTTCCAATAATTCACTTATTCCTTTCCCAGCCAGCCTTATATGACACACCTCCTCAGGCAGGTACAGCACATGTACAGGGACTATGCAGGGATGAAAGCTGAGCTGGGCAGGAAATCTGAGAGCAGCAGAGATGTGGATCTTGCCTTTCAGAACCCAGTTTCTGAAGTCACTACTGACACTCCCAGCCCAAAGTGAAGATGTCAGGCTTATTTGGCAATCAGATTCTCAGCTGCTCAGTTTTCTGCCTCAGTTTTCAGCAAAGCTGAACCAAAACAGTCATTTCTCCCCAGCATGTGCAGATTTGAAACCTGTGGCCACACATGAGCACATCAGACACGCCTGTCCACCATGCTGTCAGGACTGGACACTGGGACAGTGACCATTTCACTGGTGAACATCAGCCTGTCAGAACAGCTGGCACAGCTTCACACAACCAGAGTTGTGTTTGGCAATTCTATCCTGACAGGCTGTGTACTGAAACTCAGCTTTCATCTCCCCTGATGACAGCATTTCCTTTGTTGTGTTGAAACAGAAGCGCCTGAAGTTTCATACTGACAATTCAGCTCCCAGAGACAATAGAAGCTCACAAGGTCCCTATAAATACCTGCCAAAAATGTTTAATAAACCAAAGGACAAAAACTAGCACTGTGGATATAAGCATGCAATGCTACTTGGATATATCTGGCTAAAAACATGGAGAAAGCCTAAAAAAAGCATTTTTACACTGCCTTTGAAAGCCAGTTATATATGGTTAAATCTCCAATCATTCTCCTTTGAAAATCTGAAAGAATAACTGCACCTATATTAGACAGATTTTACTGTTCTTTATTCATGCCTGCAAGTGTAGAATTAAGATATGCAGCAATACTACAGAGTCAAGACCCTACATTATGTATTTACCATTTTCTCACTATTTCAATCAAATAAAATCTCCTTGCCTTTTGAACTGTTTCACTGGACAGATCTCAGATGGTAACAATTTTAGAAGTTATAGGTATTAAAATACACAAGGCACCTTGAAGAGTGATTACTGAGAGACAAGGAACTGTTTTGCTACTCCTACAAAATGGAAATGCTCTTTTAGACATATCTGGGATCCTCATGTTATATTGGCAGGTAACTAAATATTAAAAAGCAATAATGAAGCAATAAATATACTAGCAACTGCTTTATCAATAGATAGCACTTCTCCACCTACACACCAATAAATTCCTATTGCTCTGGAAGAACTCCCAGTAATTTGTGCTAATTAAATGTGCTTCCCAGGAATGGGAAAGGAGGAGGAAGGAAGGCACTGCCAGACAACTGATTACAAATAATCATTCTAGGTACCATTTTGAGATCCATCCATTAAGGTGGTCAGCAGTCAGCAGCTGAATTTCACTACCAAAAAAGACTGTAAAAGCGTAGACATATTTGTACGTTTCAAAAACACACATTTCTGAATTTGGAATAAAGGATCAGCTATTTCCCTGCTACTGTGGAACACATTACATTCATTCCACAATTAATTAGCCCTGAACACATTTAGTTCTGCTTCTCTTTGCTGTTTAAAGATTTCAAAATTAGAAAAATAATAAGATCATATGAAACACTGTTTCATAAGAACAGAATAAAGTGCTTAATACTGTATTTGCCAGAAAGGAATACAAAGTTTGTTCCAAGTACTTTAGCTTCCAAATTGGTGTCTATGCCTTCCTTTTTGGTGGTTGTATTGTGTGGAGTTTAGAGAATATCAGTGTCATTTCTGGTTGTTCTATAAGTCTCATTGTATACTTCATGGGAACCGTGAAACAGTGAATCCTTTGGAGCAGAATACAAGGAATACATCAAAAATGTAAGGAGAGGTTATGATGCCAACTTGAAACTCATGGTGGTAATGTGAAGAAAAGAATTGTGTGATGGAGGAAAACACATAAAAATAAACAAAGAAAAAATACTTATGAGATGACTTTATGCAGAAATTATTCAATGGATCCAGAAAGGAAAGCAAGCATGAAGCGGAAAATTAATTGCAGAATTTGTTCATATGCAGTAAGAGATAAAAAACTTGCTTGCACAGGAAATCCTTAACCCCAAAGCTCAAGATGTAGCCCAGGAAGAAAACAGCTCATAGGAAGAATTCAGAAGCAGCTGCTGTTTCATCTGCAAATGATGCATTGATGTTTTCTTCCTATAGCAGAGAACTTCTCTTTTCCCACTATTCCCTTTAAACTCCACCAAGACACTCACTGTATTCCAGAAAAATGTGATCAGATTCCTGAGAGATCACAACTGCCCAGCCAACTGAGTCTCACAGCCCAACCATTATACCAGTTAGGAAATAGGTGCAAAATCCAGAATCTTTGTGAGGAAAAAAATATTGCAGTGGTGTCAGCAGCATTAACAGCTGGTACAGACCTGGCCCTGTGAAGGACAAAAGTGTGCCAAAAGAGTAGCTGGCTACTGGAATAACTCCTAGGTGACAAAATCAAGGGAGAGATGTCTGGAGGCTTAGTAAAAAACCTGGCTGAGCTTCCCTTGGAACAGGAGCCCAAACATGCTGCTGGAAGGAGGGGAAGAGTCGCTGTTAGACACATTCCAGAGGCATCTCACAGCAGCTGGGGAGGACAAAAGCTGTGGTCACAGGGAGTGGGAAATGATGTCAAAGCTGCAGGTGGTGCCTGATGCAGCAGAGAGTGCACAGGACCCTCCAGAGACTGGGTGAAGTACCTGTGCTCAGAAGGGCTCTTGGCAGGAGAGCACACACTCACCCCACAAGGAAAAATAAAACAGCCTTGATCACTTGGTCACTGGATTAGGACAGCATGGGAATGGTTCCATGGAGAGCTCGTAGCCAGAGGGGAATGCTGTATCCCAGATTTCTTGGCTGGAACTGAAGAGGACTGATTTGGAAGAAGTTCAGAATACAGTAAACACAGCAGTATGGGGAAGAGAGTGATACTGATGGAAGTGACAGAGCTTCAGGGTATAAAAACTGAGAAGCAACAGCTGTAAAACATGAGATGGAAATAGGCAGAGCTTCAGGGGCAAGTTAATATCCTTATGCTAGACTGAGTTCGGGGATGTAGTAAGTGCTTTGTGTGTGAGAGTTATCTTAAATTTAGGGTTGTCTTCCTTTTTGATGAATACAGTACTAAGTTGGTGCTGCTGTAGCCAGAAAAGCACAAACACAGTTGTGGCAAACACTGTCACTACCACAGCTCACACAGGAGATGAACACAACACTATAAACCACTTAGGTTTAGTCAACACCAAACAACACTTTTACAGAGATACATCTACCTTGGAGACACAAATACCTACTATTGCTAAACAACTTTCAAATCCCAGATTACAAAACTAATCTAAGAGGGTTTAATATTTCCACTATAAAAGCTCACACCATGCAAATTAAAACAAGACACCAAACTAGCTTTCACACTGAACTAGGTGACACTGGATTTATTTCAGCAACACATTTTCATAATATGTTCTTTTGAATCTAGTATTTCCTTTCATGATCAGACTTTTTTGAAGAAAGTATAGAGGTTTTAATATATTGCTAAAAAATCCAAACAAGTTTTATCATACTTGCACAACAATCCTAATAAAAATAAATACAAACTTACCCTGATTTTGCACTACCACATCAAACGGTAAACAAAAGGAAAATAAAATAATGAAAGACAAATATAAAACTAGGATTAAACTGAACTCAAAGGCATACAAAACCAGACAAATAATGTGTACTGTAATTTAATTCTGCAACTATAAATAGGTTTTTGTTAGCAGACACTGAATGTTGCCCTCAGCCTATTTGTGCACATGCAAGCACAAATCAGAAAGATAAACGAGCAAATAGGGATTAGAGACAGCTATAAATAGAATGAGCTGTCGTTGTTCCAAGCATTCAGGTAGCTGGAATTCTTTTTGCTGAATACAAGGTTTTGTAAGTAAACAGTCAGTCAGAATTTGTTTTAAACCTCCCTCCTCCAGTGTCAGAGTGAAAAGCAATTCAGAGCAGCTCTACCACTTTTTCTTTTTGATAAGGAGTTCAAGAAGGCAGCAAAGGATCTTTGATCCCTTATGATAATATTGCTTCCCATGTTCAGAACACCCCTCAGGATTCTGAACAATTGCATGACAGCATCTAACTTGGGATTTTTCAAATGATAGATCTAGATTGTTTTCACTTCATTGAGTGGTAGAAAACAGAAGGCTTCAGGGATCCCTTGAAGCCCCCTCCAGTACCTAAATGGGCTGTGGAAGGGATGGAGAGGGGCTTTGGAAGAGCTAGGGAAGGCAATTCCAAACTAAAAGTTTTCATTTGTTTAATAGAGACAGCTGCCTTTTAAGCAATCTGCAACACGCAGCCATAAATTATACTTTAAGTAATACCAGCACATTTTTGAAAAGCAGAATGTTTACAAGAAAAGCCATGATTTATCTGCAACTGCACTTCTTGCATTTCTTAAAACAAGACAGTATGGATTGTTTCACTTGAGAATGAAACTTGTGGCTGGTATTGAGAAATACCTATATTGCTCAAAGAACAGACCTTACCACTCCTTAGATATGACCAGACTAAAACTATTTATTCAATCGAGATGTGGTATGACTTTAAAGCACTGGAGAAAAGGGAAAATACCAGATCATAATAATATATGATTGCCTTCAGAGCAGCAGTCTGAAGAAAAACAGCTGAGCCTTCTGTTATCCAAACAAACCCACATTCCATTCTGACTTTTCAAACCAACACACTGCTGGTTTTCATTAGCAGCCACCAGGCATTATTCTCATTAGTTAATAGAACTTAGGTACTGCAAGAAATCCCTCTCAAAGGGAAAATTAGCACCCTTTCTTTTCAACATTTACTGTCTGTCTTCAGAAGGCAAGGAAAGTCTGATCTTCATCAGTTTTTTGACAGCTGAACAGAACAGAAGCAGCAGAAGTTTAAGGTACATGGCTCAGCACTGGAGGAAAAAATGCAAGGAATGCCTGGTCCTACTTTATAAATATGAGTGTTTCCTGTATTCCCATATAAGCATCAAGTCAGGATTTCTACAAGTAGCAATATCTCTTTTTCACCTATGATTAGTCTTTGCTTCATCTGTCCCAAGTCTGAAAACAACAAAGCATGCAAACAGGCACTCCAAAGGTGAGAAGTAAAGTAAAGATTTTCTGGGACAAAGTGAAAAAATTCTCATGACTAGGAGAAGGTAACTGCATACAAGGTGCCATAAAAAATAGTCACAATTGATTAAAAAAAACTGAAGAAACGAGGGCAATATGGTGCAAAGAAAAAGGCAACAGACAATCTTAAACAGAAGTGAAAAAATTAGTGAAGAGAGAAGCTGCCAGCAGCTACAACACAAAGGGACAGAGAAAGGAGCCAGCAAATTCATACACAGGAAGGGATGTCTGCACACAGCATCTCGTGCTTCCCTTCTGTCAATTCCTCCACACTCTGGAGCAAAGAACAGCCAAGGACAACTTTAGGAAATCTCCCTTTTGAATTCAAGGTATTTAGAATTTATTACATTTAATACCTCCCAAAGCAGGTATGAAATATAATAAATTTGGGGGAAATTAGATAAGAGTCCACTTCTGTCTCCAGATTTCTTTATTACAGCAGTCCAATTGTAAGTTTTCAGCTTAAATTCCTTTCAAATTTACCATGACCTATGCTGCTATTAATGTTCTGGAAAAATAGTAAAGTAAAAAAAATCTACAGAAGCTTATAAACCATAGCATCATATTAGACAAAAATACCCCAAAACCAAACTAAAAAATAAAACCACAGCATTTTTAAACAAAGCAACACATGAATAACACAAGATTAAAATATTTGATAACTTACTTTTTCTGCATTTTCCTGTTTTTCTCTGCTTGACCTCCAAGTTTGCTGAGGCCTAATGCATCCTGAGAGGAACCATCTGCTTCTCCCAGGCCACCTACAAAAAACCCCAAACTCAAGTCACTCTCAATTTAATCCTTTGTAATATTACTGACCAGGAATGGGTAAAACAAAAGCCCCAAGGCCATCTCTCTCACTGTGTAAGAAAAAGCAAACCAACCTTGTCCTAGAGCTTCCTTGCTTCCTTGTCCAGGTCGTCCCTTTTCCTTCTTGCCAAACAGGCGGCCAATGGAGGATTTGATCCCCTTCTTTTTGGGGGCTTTGTGGAGGGAATCTTGGCTGCTGTTACTGCTACTAGGATTACTTGTTTGGCCATCCTGTGAACCTGTTGAACTGTACAAAATAAAAAGACTCATAAAGGAGCCCATGTACAACAAATTCACCAGAGATAAGTTCAGGGCTCTGTGCAAGTTAATTAAGTTCACTAACTCACTAATTACATTTAATTTCAGTTAATTTTATGAATTATGAAAAGAAATGTTGATGGCAGAAGTTCCTGGCTGAAAGGGGCAGACAAAGTTAAAAATACTTGAGTGGAATTCATCTCAGATACTTAGGCACTTTGAAAAGAGCATCTGTCAATCAAAGTGATGGCAATTTTGCAAGATATTTCTCAATTTACAGCTAAATAAAAACTTAAGAGTTACATTTTTCATATCCCAAGCATAAAGAAAACTTAATGCAGACTTTGAGTACCAAAAGCATTCCCATGAAGCCATTTCTAAGCACTAGCAAAATCTACATTCCTAATGTTTATGTAACAGTCACCCATTTATGTGTTCACACTCCTGACTTTTGAGAAACACTTTAACACACAGACTAAAATCCTACAGGCTGAACAGCTCTGCAGTTTGGGGTTTTATTCTGATGCTGTGGAACACTGTGGAATTCCTGGTAGGGCTGAGTGATTCCCAGCTTACTTACTTCCTAATGTCCCTGATATCTTCGTGGCTCACTGTGTGCAGAGCTCCTTTCTGGACTCTGTCCAGACGCAAGGACCGAGGTGAAGAAGGTGGCGATGTCTCACATTTAATCGTGGTTTTGTCATCTCGTACCTCTTCTCTGGAAGCTGGAGACTGATGGAAAAGGAAGGAAAACATGAGGGGCAATGCCAAAACATGAAGGCAATATCAAAACAGTGAAAGGAAGAATCTTATTTTAGTGTTAAAGGATCACTCTTGCCCTTACCATTCTGCAGTTGCCTATTTTTTGCTCGATTTCTTTCTGAATTTCTTGTTACCTTCAGTGACAAATTACTAAATTCAGCCTTAGCTACTGAAATGAGAAAGTAGCACTTATCTTCTATTCATTTATAGGGCTAAGAACTAAAGTAATGCCTTCAGCACCATAAAATGAATATACCTGTCCCCAGTTCAAGCAAGTGCAAAGACAGAAAAACTAAAGAGACCTGTGGAAAGAATTATTAGCAAGATCATTGACTTTATGAAGTCAGTTTCTACCCACCTGTGGCTACAAAAGTTTGAGCAACAGAAAGAATATCTGTGTGTGCACTGACAGCTTTTAAAATTCAGGACTAATGCATGAAGACTACAAAGCAGTGATTGCAAACAGAAGGCAGCACAACAGTCCTCCACACCAGCAAAAACAGGCAAACAAACACAAAAACCCACAAAACAAACCCACACTTAGGCTAAAATGATAAATCATAATCTTGTTTTTTTACAGAGCTACCCTGCAAATGCTTTATGTTCCTGTCATCCACTAATGAGTTTGGGGACAGGGAGGGAGATGAAGGGGCACACCATGAAATAAACTAAAGATTTTTACCTTTCTACGGTGTTTCCTTAAATCACTAGGCTGACAGATGCATGCAAAGAAAAGAAATTTGGAAAAGCTGTATTTATTGTAAACTGCAGACTGTCTATAAAACAGACTAAGACAACTAGTACAGACAAAACACCTTAGGGAGAATATAAACAACAATTACAACAATGGCACAGAGAGATACTGGGTATGAAGTACTCCTTAAATCACAGATTACTTAAATGTATCCCTGAAGTGAGGAAAAGGAAGCAAAAAATAAACACTTAGAGTTGGATATCTACCAAAGTACCAGAGATGTTTGAGTGTGTTGGGACTGCTGGCAAATTAGCACAAAACATGTGCAGAAAAAAAAAAAAAACCAAAAAAAAACAACCCAGTAAAGTGTGCGGGAGTGCAAGGTGTTGCTTTGACAAGGTGAGACCTGCTTTGAACCTCCAGGTCAGCCACAGGAGCCTTAATAAATCATCTGCACTCATCCCTCCCAGGGATTCCTGCAGCTGTTTCCTACACTGCACAAAAAGCAGCCAAGACTTGAATAATGTCAGAGAGTGCCAACAATAGCCCATTTCTATACAGTAACAGGATTCTGTTCTTTTTGCAGCTTTCCAGTGCTGGAATGCTTGAGCAGGAAGTCACCACCACTTCTATTTTATCCTCCATCCACTCTATCCTCACTCCCCAGGGAGTGCTTGCCTCTGCCAGTGCACAGAGCAAGAGTTACACAAACAGCTTATTCAGACTGATGCTGACAAAAGTTAAATTTAGATAATTTGTTTAATAGCTCTCATTATTTAAAAAGCCTGCAACCAACAGTAAAGTTGGTCTCCTTTGAAGTGGAACAGGAGGAGGGATGTTGTTTCCCTCCCACAAAGGATAACTTTTAATTGTTTTTGATTTAGAATACATGTAAATTTTGCAGCATTAATATGGAAAGTTTTGTTCAATCTGACTGTAGAGTACTACATTAATAAATCATAAGTTCACTGAATCATAGAAGGGACCTTTAAAGATGATCTAGTTCCTCCTCAAGTTCTTGATAAAGCACTGCAGACTCATTTTACCATTACTGGATCTTTCACCCATTAAATCTGATGAGCATCAAAATTAAAATGTTCACCACATGAAATGAACTGCACACAAGGACTGCTTAAGAGAGCTGTAGGCTTCACCATTTATCATGTTGATGCTTTTTAATCATGAGGGGCTTTCAACTGACTGAGCTGCATAACCACTGGCATTAAGATAATTTGCCTATGTGATCAAAACCTAATGCAACTCTCTATTAAAACATTGGAAGACACAGCAGAACTCAGTCTAATAATCCATGACAGCTCTTCCTAAAGTTTCTAGAAAGCTCTTGTTCTCTAATTCTTGATTTCAAACTTTCACAAATCAGTTGCCAGGTACAAAACCCACGAAATACAGCTACAAACACCAGATCAAGTGACTTCGATGCACAATTAGGATCTAAAGTGAACTCAGTTACAGTTCCCTTTTCTTCAGTTGCATTGGATTTCAGACAAGACACATTCTCCTGATCTAGTTTTGGGGAAAAGAGCTACTTAAATTTGTATATGATTTTCTGCATGGGAAGTATTTAGCTTAACTAATTATTGTGAAATGTTAGACGATAGAACACTCCACAATCTGAATTTTGACAGCGTTTTTTTAGAAGACTGCTTGCCCCTGGATATATGGCTAGAGCTGGTACGATGATTTTTATTTTAATGCAAAGAAGGAAAAATTACACCCTTTTATGAAAAAAATATTTTTTGGTGTAAGTGCACATTAATTTTAAAAAGCCAGCAAAACTACTTAGCTAAAATACTTGGTTTTATTTGTTAATTTTATTTAATATTTATGTAAAACAAGTAAGGGGGAAATTTGTATCTTAATTTTACAGATGTGTTTACATGCATAAAGCAGCTGCTAGAAGGATTAACCTTCCTCAGCAGTCATAGGAATGTCAAAAGAAGGACAACATCTTTCTCTACTCTCTGAACTCCTAAGACTAAACTACTTTATCAACTACAAGGTCTAACAGATATTTCTTTTACCTATCAGGCTTTAATTGCCCAAAACAGGACACTAGCACTCATTAATATTCATACAGCAGTGATACCATCCCAATCTTCAAGATTAATATGCAAATCCCTTTTTAGCTGAGTGTTTACTGGAACAGTGGACTGCTAAAAATAAAGTTTAAAGCAGATGGGGAAAGTGGTTGAAAAGAAAACATTATTAATTCTAGAAAGAGGAGTCTGAAGAAAGACCATAACAACAGAAGGAAAAAATACTTAGGCATGAGATGTTGACCAAAAAATAGACTTGAGCTCTGAACGTTTTTCCTAATCATTATGTATCTTACACTTTTTATAGAAGTTGAAAGGAAGCAGTAGAAAAACCTAGAGAAAGGAAAAATACAGCTGAGTAAGCAGGAGAGGAAGGGGCAACCGAAGAACCCATTTCCTAGAGAACAGGAACGCTCTTCCGAGGAGACGGCAGGCCGTGGGTACCCACCAGAGTCATGATGCCCAGCCTGTCCACCTCCCTGGCGGGGCTGTGCGGGACGCGCCGGGGCGTGGAGCGGCCGCTGCCGGGCGGGGAGGAGCCGGCCAGGGCCCCGCCGAACGCGGGGGCGATGGAGCCCAGCGAGCGGAACCGGCCGTGCGCCTCCAGGCTGCCGCTGCCCACGCGGCTCTCGATCTCCTCCGCGCGCTGCTCCGTGTTCTCCTTCTCCTCCTGGATCAGTCTGAGGGAAAAAGAGCCTCACAGGAACGTGACATTCCAACAAGGACCATGCAAACAGAAGCGGTACTTAGCAGAAAAACGTGGGGAAATTACCGTTTTCCAGCATGTTTGTATCAAAACCTCCACAGCACAGAGGCCATACCTGATCTCTTTGTTGATTGCATCCAACTGTTCCTGCAGCATTATGGCCAAAGTCTGAGCATCGGCCTGACCACTTGGTGACAGCAGATCAACTGAGCTGAAAATGGTCTCCCTGTCGTCCTCCATGTCAGACACATCCACATCACTCTCAAATGCTTGTGCCACGTTTGCCAACACACTGGCTTGCTGGGCCCGCTCCCAATCCTGCTCATTCAGGGTCTGAACCTACAAGAATCCATTAAAGAAATAAATCCAAGCTCAAATGAAAAAAACATTATGTCCCTACTGCTTATTACGATGTTTAAAAGAATTTATGTAAGTCCACTTACATGCTGAACACATCCAAGACAGCAGTGTTTAGAGAAATGTAAAAAAAAAAAAGCTATAATGTACGAAACTTTAAATTTCATTTAACTGCAAGATGCAGAACATGCTTTTAATTGCAGTAGAATTTTTCTATCAATTCCATGGGAACTATGGTATCAGTTTTGTGTAATGAGTACTGAAAGAAAATGGAAATTGCTTTCAGAACAGTAATGTGCTAGATTAGAGTATACAGACACTAAAGTAGGACTGCTTCAAATTGTAATTTATAGGCTTATCAAAATTAAAAAACAAAACCAAAAATTAAAACCAAAAAAAAAAACAACAACAAAAACCCAACAAAACAAAATAGGAGCTCCAAACCATAATCATGCATCTATTTGCTAACACTTAAAAGGACCGGCAGCTGTTCACAAGTTGGTAACACAGGAACTATAAAACTCAGGAGTTTATTGCCAGGTCTTCCCAATTCTAAAACCTCCTTGCAGCTGATTAGCCTCGTGCACTGGATAAATCTGTGTTATTTGTATTCTTTCCTTACCTTTGAAGGCTCGTCCCTGAGAGCAGCCAGACGCCCCTTCTGGGGCCGCCTCAGCACGGAGGACGTGCCGTAGGAGTCTGTGTGACTGTCCCCCACAGAGGAGGATGCCACAGGGAATCTGAAATCCGCTCTGCTGCAACACAAAAACATTTCTTCTTTACAAAGGGAGAAAAAAAAAAAAAAGCCACCCAAAGGATTTCTCTTTTCCCACCATTGCCAGTTGTTTTTAAGCAGTATAAAAATTGTTTTATATGCTCTATAAAAGGAATTTATCATTATGACTGAAATATTTTCATTTATAATACACAAGATTGTATTTAGCATAGTTGACCTTAAAGAAAATAGGAAAAAACCAAACTACTGCTGGTACCTATGATGAAGTGATGTGGCTCTGAGCCTCACTTGGTCGTTTTCAGCTCTTAATGCATCAACATTTAATACAAGTTGATCCTGGAAAAATAAATACAAAAAAACATAATATGCTTTTTAAAAAAAATTAGTGTCAAATACAAATTTATAAACTCACATTTAAGCTTTTTAATCTAATTTCTCTGAAAGTTGAAAATAACAGATTTTAAGATATAGCCATCACCTATTTAAACATTGTTTTTGCTACACACAATACAGCACTGTCACAAAAGGCATCCCAGAATAATTCTGCTGCCTCTCTACCCTGACTCTAGCAATTACAAAATATATTTTAAAAACAGCTGTGAGTTCACATGCTACTAAGAGAATTATAATTAAGTGATGACAAGAAACAAGAAGATTTGCTCAAGCTTTCTGCACAAAAGGATCTAAAAGCATTCACTTTTAACTGGACATTTTTACATGCTCTAGAAACTCGGAATTTAACAGCAGAGAAATACAATGAATGAGAAAACAAAAGTGTAAATAAAATAAGAAGTGGCTGATAATGAACATCTGTAAGGAGGGACCTTGTCATTTCCAGGACAAGCAGAACACCAGGCACCTTAGCTATTGCAAAGGAGCAGCCAAATCTAATAAATATTTCTCCCTCTGCTCCCCAGTTCTTAAAACTTATTAAAAAACCTGTTAGCAGTTGCACAAGCATTTTCTGATATTCAATGCTTTGAGAAAACCTTATGGAAAAATACCCAACATTAAAAATATTTCTCATGTGGTTTTGCTGTTCAAGGTCATATGTACAACAGTATAAAAACTCTACACAATCTCCAAACTTTGGCCAATTGCCAACATATCCAGGCACTTCACATATTCAAAAGTGTGTTAAGTCTTGGACTAAAAGATTATGTGTTACCTATAAAATCCCCCTAAAACTGTGGCACACAATACCATAAAATAAGTAATAACAACTCCTTTCTCTTAAACAGAGCAGGAAATGTTAAGTTTTATGAGGAATTAAAATCTGATCCTGCTATGTAGCAAGGCAACAATTAAGTTCAAAGACAATATTTCAGAAATGTAGAGTCTACCTTTTCATGCTGAAGTTCTTCTATTTGTTTTTTTGCATTTTCAATTTCTCGAAGAAGTGAATTCTGAAATTAAAGGCATCACAAATTAAGGCACTCATAAGCTTTACACTTTTAAACCATAACCATGACGAGTATCAAAAAAAATGCAGTCAACATTACACAAATGCATCTTAAATTACACATCCTTGATTGCTTCCATCATTTCACTTTGCTTATAGTTGAAGGTTTATCCTTCCAGGTGTACAGCCCTCTAAATAACGGATTTAGTAATAGTACTGGTTCCATAAATCTTTAATAGCAATAGCAGCCTTTTAAATCTCCATTTCACAGTCTAACTAGTAAAAAAAGGGAATAATTATGGAATAATTCAAAGTAATTCAAGAAAGATCACATGATCAAAACAAAATCTTAATGTTACCTGAATGTTTCTTCCCAACTTAGCATAAAAGAATGAGCTGGAAGCCTCAACAAGAACACTTTTCTAGAAGCTGTTAACTACAGTAAAGGACAAGTAGATTTTCCTCATTATTTGCAAATGTAGTTATGGTTTGGAAGATAAGAGGGAGCCAGGGTCAACCCTGAGACATCACCTATTATTCAAGCATTATGCATGAATGCAAGAGGAAGCAAACATTCAGTACAAGTCTGGAAACACCATTTGCGTTCCAAAGCATTTTACTGCCATGACTGTAAAACCAAAGACACTCAGCTTTTCCTGAAACATTTCCCCAGATTGTCATTTCACCCTCTGGTAAAAGAAACCAAATATATTTTAATCCAAGACCAAGCAACTCAAAGTCAGCATCAAGCAAAGCGCCACTTTAGAAGCCATTGCTTTGCTGGATGAAGAACAAGGGATCTAACTTCAAACTGTGCATGGAAGAATAATCCATAAGGATCTAAATCCAAAAGCAGAAGGGAAGAAAAGGAGTGAAAAGTGTGTCAGAAGAGATTAACTGAGTGCAGGAGAAAGCTCCAAGATGTGCACTGATAGTGCAGGAAAAGCCCATTTAACATGCATATAATAAGTCCCAAAATGAGCTACCTGAGAAGAAAAGCAAATTGCAGGAATCCCACAATGACTCAGGAGAACTGGTACAGCCAAAAGCAGTGGGAAACAAAGGAAACTGAACTGGAAAGGTCAAAGTTCCAATGCTTTAGGCTTCCTGTATTACACTGGATGAGCCTATTTATGCAATCTGCACCAGTCATATAAAAAAGGATAAAGCTTCTTAAAAGCTGCCTTCTTAACACCACAGTGCAATGCCCAGGGACAACCTCAACAATTATTTTAAGAGCATACTTTCAAAATCCACACTAAAAAAGAGCCCTAACAGCAACTACTTATTAATAAAGGTTTTGTGTTTATTTGCTGAAGTTACAGACACATTGCAAAAGGCACAAATCATTACAGAATTACACATTCATTACTGGAATGTGACTTGTTACCTTGTCTTCCAGGGCAGCCATCCTCTCCTTGAGATGAAGCTGGAGCCTTTCATTGGATTCAGACAGAAGCTTATCAACAGTTTCTGACAAACGTTTATTATGCTCTTCATTCATCTTCTCTCTCTGTCTAGCCTGAGATACAAAGAAGCTGCTGAAAAAACTTCACATTTGCAATATCTCTAATTTCCAGGTTATGAAGGCAGCAAGCTTTCTTTAATCCAAATGCATTTTTTTATAACAGCAATGTTTTTCCACAGAGGAACACTGCATGTGCCTCCAGGGCTCTGTAAGGGAATCTAAGGGACACTTCAGTCTTTAATAAGTGATCCAATACCCAACATTTAAAAATCCAAGCCTACATTAGAAAAAATTTGAAAAAGGCACAATTCAGAATGGATTCCATTATCTGTAACCCAGGAACCAATTTTTCCATAGTCATTTAATTCAGCAAGTTCCTTCAAACTTTTACTGGAGACTTTCAGCACATTTTCCTTGAGATTTAAGGTTAGCCACAGTACAGTGACTCACTAACAGCCAGCCTAAACTCTAGCTTTATTTTAAAGCTGAGAAACAAAGAGGATTAGGTTCATGCTTTCAGCTTTTTATCTTTGTCAAAATGATGTGCAGTACCCTTTGCAGTTCTTGATTCTTCTCTTCAAGCTGTGCCTCCATCTGTCTCAGCCGCTCCTCAATATTGCCGTGTCTCTCCTCAGCCTGTCAATTTGAGAGCAAAATTAGAATTTGGGTGGGTTTTTTTAGGCTCCAAAAGCACAGAAACACTGAGGCACAGGAATATTTCTAACATGCTTTGCACAACTGCCATTTATGATAAAGGACAATGCAGAACAGATGCTTTTCTGTCACCAAAAGGACCTTGCAAGAGTTCAGATGGGAAGTGGCAAAATGATGAAACCTCTCACCCTTAAGTACCATCATGAATCAACTACTACTATTTGCAAACAAGCTTGCAACAGTGAAGTTCATTCATATCCCCAAGAAGGAAAACCAAAAAATAAATAAAAGTAAAGACTGAGTGCATTTTCAGCTTCTCCTCACTAGCCTGGACGATGGGACCCTTTGTTAGTAATCATGGCAAAGCAGAAAGCAGCAAGCAGAGACAAGGACTAAGATACAAATTCTACCTTCCTAAGCTTGGAGGCAAGTTCCAAAACTTTAGCATCTTTAGCAGCAGAGCTCCCAGGAGACAAAAGGTCAGACTACAGAGCCAGTTAGGGACAGGAAAGATAAAAGGGTAAAAAATGAAACTAAGGCTTTGAAAGAAAACATGCACACACACACTTGAAAACGCTCATTTGCAGTTAATTAAATACAATTCTTCAGATTTCATTACTCCATTTGCAGCCCTCTAAAAATCTTGATATTTGGTAGTACCACAACTTCTCTCACTCCCCACTTGCTTCGTTTAGCAGTGGAAGAAATTCAGGTTCAGAAACAGTTCATGTTTAGAAGACTTTATGCCTATTATTGAATAATTTTAATAAAAAGTACCAAAATAATAATTCAGGGAGATATTTTTATGATGTAGAAGAGTTTACAGAAAACCCGCTTGAGTTCCAAAGAGCCAAAACTTAAAAAAGAAGATTGACAATTAAAAAAAATGAAAGAGAAAATCAGAGCATCTTCAGAGATATGAAAGGAAAAAAAAAATAGGAAATAAACATTTTCTGTAGGAAATAAATATTTTCTGAATGATTTGTGGGAAAACTGGAAACCAAATGTAACCAAACCAACACTAGGAACAGATTTCCTGCAGTGGGACACCAATGGAGGAGGGAGTCTGGAGGACACTGTGCCACCATCTCACCTTTGTAAGTGCTGCCACTCTCTGTGCCAGCTCAGCCTCCACCTCTGGCAAAGTCTCAGCTTTCCTCAGGGTCTGCTGCAGCTTTTGCTCAGCCAGTTCCAGTCGCTCTTGCAGTTGCCTGTTCTTATCTTCGCTCTGCACAGGGTTACGGCCAGCAAGTGTTGAGAGTTAAAGAAGTGATTAGTTAGAAAGTGGTTGGCTAACAACCATTTCTGGCTTATGAAGTTGGACTATTTCATGTTCAATTCTCGAACTTCTTCTCTCACTAAGACAATAGCCTGTAAAAACCACTACACGCCATGCAAATCTTAAAAGTTTAGCTCAGAATGAGTAATTTTCACCCACAAAACTAAAGATACTAGGTTACACATACAGTAACTTAAAAATCCACAATTAATAGGGACAACAGCCCAGTGCCCCAAGTGCACTACATTTCTCAAAACCATTTCCCCTTCCCAGTAAAGCTGCCTCATCTTTATTCCCAGGGTAAAAATCTCTGCAATGTATGACTCCAGCTCTTGAAAAACAATCACTAATAACAGCACATTACAGCTGATATTTATCTCCCTAAAAGCAAAGTGCTTCAGCACAGCATGAACATTAATTATCTCCATTAGCTTTATGCTGAGCAAAATGTACTCCATCTCATTTGAAATCACAACCTGTCGGTGCATGGAGTCTTTAGTGGCAATTTCATTTTCAAGTTTATCATTGAGGTCATGCACGGATGTAGCTTCACGTTGTGCAGCGAGGTAGCGTTTCTCCAGAGTGGTGATTCTCTCCTCCATGTCCTCCTTCTGGGCCAGAGTCTGGGCAAGACACACAACAGAAGTCAGAATGTGAGAGATAATTTCAAATAAAATTATTTCAAATTTTTTTTTTTTAAATCAGGTTATTTTTCTCAGTAAAAAACGAAGTGGAAAGAAATGGCTTTTTAAAATAATTAATTATTAAAACCCACTGGTCTTTATTACCTTACACCACAGATCTGCTACTTTCCTTTCCAATGGTACACACAGAGCAAATCTTGACTTGCTGGGGATGGTCAGAGAGTGTCCTGGGATTTAACTAAGACCCCTTTCTATTCTAATAAGGATATGTAGAAACCTGGAGATTAGGGATTCAGCAGTGACAGGAACTGTCAACCACACCACTGAAATTAAAGGGATTCCTCAAGCAAGTGCATCTTTTAAAAAAGGAAGCAAGAGTAATAAGCTAAGCATGTATGATAAGATCAAGCATCTCTTCCAGAGCCTGCTGAAGTTGGCAATGCTAAATCTATTGATGAAATATCCAGATAGGTTTACCCTGAAGACAGATTTTTTTTTTTTAAGTGGACAATGGGACACTTTAGTCTTTTAAGCAAAAACCAGATACCTATTATGTCCTAAAAAAACATTTTCTTCTCATCTATCAAACCAAAGACTTCCAAAAACAAAGGTTCAACTGAGCATCAGTGAGACTAAAATTTTATAAAGATGGCACTTGTGACTCCCCAAATCCTGACAGTTCCTTCCTCACCTCTCGTACATCCCTCTGTAACTTTGTGTTCATTTCTTCAGATTTTATTAAGTCTTTCCTTGCTGTGTCTAGATCTTCTTCCAGCTCTGTTACTCTGCTGGACAAAGCAGTGAGGCGTTCTTTCATTTGTGTCTGTTCTTTGTTTTGCTTATCTATGATGTCTTGGAGTTCAATCACTTTAGCAAGGTTTTCATCGTGGCATAATGAACCATCAGAGGATCTCTATTAAACAGGGGAAAAAAAAAGTGTATTAGCATGAAGCAAACTAGATTGAAAAACAAATTGTTACTCACCTGGAAACATCCCTCCTCAAAGATAATTTTATTATTGAACAGACTGCAAAAGCTGACATTTCAATAACAATGACTTTTTAACTATATGATCATTCAGAAACATTTTATTATGGTTTAAAATTAAAATGTTATAGTTAATGATTAAAACCCATATGTCAGCTAAGCAAAGTAAATAGCTGTACCTTCCCATTTGTAGTTGGTGTATTTTCTTGTTCATGATTTATATCCAGCATCCCATCTGGAAGTGTTTTCTTCTGATTATTTTGCTCTTTCAGAATCATTAACTAAAAGAAAAGTTTAAAGACACATGTTTCAAGCCAATTCCTTTTTCACTAATAATATAAGGAACAGCTGCAAAAGCAAAGGAGCAAAACAACAATTACTGATTCTACTGCCAGGTATGTATTACAAAAACCTGGCACAGGCACTCAAATACCTTATGCCACTGCAAACCCTTATTTTAAAGGCACAGGGACTCTTTTTGTTGGTTTGCTTGGGGTTTTTTGTGGGGCAGAGAGGGTGTTAGGAGGTTGAGGTTTGGTTTTTTTCCTCTCCTGCTCTTTCAAAGTAGCTAAGTTAAAAATTAACAATTATTCCATTTGGCAAGAAATCAAAAGGAAAAAGTGAAAGTGAAACTTAATAAATTACTCTGTACAAATATTGACTGAAACACCCACAATGGACACATGAAGCCTTCTTTTAAGGCAGAAACTTACCTCTTTATGTGTAGTACCTAGTTCTTCTTCCAATAAGCTACACCTTTCAAGTGCTACTCGTAATCTCTCCCTTACCTGAAAGGGCAATTTCAAATTATTTGAAATCATTCAAATCAAAAGGAAATCAGTTTTACTTGATGCCATGCCTTTACAGACAATAAATGACACTGTTTCCATTACACTTAGAAACCTTCTTAATCTGGAGTCAGTCCTAATTACAACACATGCTACCAAAAAAATAACCAAATAATGTGTATCTTATAATCTAGCTTTTCATTTTTTCTGTCATAACATGACCTGTACATTTAGGCACTAAAGAACTAAACATACCCAGAATTTTCTTGTCCTTCTGCAAGGCACAGACCGTGTTTGCTTTTGTTCATTTACAACATGGAAGAACAGGTAAAATTCCACTAAAAATCATTTGCCAGATTTTACATACAAGGGTCACAAAGTCAGGTAAACTGCAAGTCGGCAACAAAATTTACAGTGAACTTTAGCAGTTGCATATTGATATTAGTTGATATTAGCAGTGCTGCTAATATCAGTCACACCTGAAGGGAGGAGTTCCTTTAATTCACATTTTTATCCCAGTGTAAGTACATTCCCCTCCTCCTCTTCTCTCTAGTCCATTTCTTTTATTAGATAATCAAAAGGATAAATCCTGATGTTGTACAGGTAAGCAGCTGTGTGCATTCCTACAGCAAATATATTGGTCCTGAACCATGCTGAGTTTACACTAACACAGTTAATGAAGTGCTTGAATAAACGACAGCACCTTGCTTTAGTTAAGTGCAGCACCTTAATTTAGGAGAGCATTTACAAATGTAGTTACACTGCAGAGATTCCTACAATTTCAGTAGAAAAACTGCCTGGCCCACACAAAGGAAAGAGGATGAAAAGGTGCTACGTAGCATACTTCATTACCTTTTCATCAAGGGCTTTGTGGTGCTCAAATAAGGATTTTAGTGCTTTGAGAACTTCTACTTCACTAGAAACTCCTGCTGGAGACTGAGCTTGCCTCTTCACAACAGTCATCCTGAGGGATCGCTCATGCCTGGAGACAAGACACTCCAAATGTTCCAGTAATAGCTAAAGCAAAAGGAAAAAAAAGAAAGGAATAATGTTTATTCCTGTTCTGTACAGCTACAGAAAACTTTGCTTCCTAGAACATTAAATGTAGAGTTCTAAACTTCATATTTCAGAGACAAAGGATATTGTATCAAGCGTAAGGACTCGTTTTTAACATTTCAGCTGTATTAGCAGTGTAAGCTGCTCAAACAGATCACCACAACCTGCCCACTCTGCTCCTCTGATCCCAGAGCTGTAGGATTACAAAACTTTAACAAGAAATCTGGATGGCAGATAGCAGTGCAGTCTTACAAGCTTTTCCTGATTCTGCACAGCAGCATTTGGAGCTGTGCACAAGCTGCCAAACCCTCTTGATCAACACACACACACATTTGCACTTCCATGGGGATTCATGTACAAGTATCAAGGGAAAAAATACTTTTAGCTTTTCAAATTCAACATTTGTTTTCCTCCCTGTAGCTGGATGCTTTAACAATGGTGAGCTTGGAGAAGACAAGGAACTAACCCTCGTGTTATTCCTTTCTGCTTTCAATTCAGCAATTTCTTCTTCCCTTTCAAGCAGCTGCTCCCTGCATACATTCAGCTCTTTTGTGAGCGCTGCAAATTCCTGGAACAAACCAGACAGAAATATAAGCACATCAAATATCAGGACACAGTGAGAGTGGATTCATATGATCACTTGACAGTTCCTTGAAGCATTCATTTCAGATGTGCAAAGCCAATACAACTGTATAGTCATGCTAAGCCAGCTTCAGTTCAAACATTTAAAACCTTTATGCTGCCAACTGTAAAGAAAAACGATGTTTGACCAGGACTTTGAAAACTTGTTTGTGTCTCAAGGCAATTATATGAGTTGGGGTTTCCCTGGTAAGCAAAAGGAAAAACGTATTTGTAACATACTTTGTTATGGTTTCAAAGAGTTGTTAGTTTTGTGTGTTTTCATTTGTTGTTTTTTTTAACAACTGCTGAGAGAGACATGAAAAAACAGAGTACTAAGCACAGCAAAATAAGGAAACCAACAAACATGACATATTTCAAGTCAGTATTTAATTGTGAGCAACAATGAATAATCCTGACATGTACCAGATTACAGCTAAATACAGGAATTTCATTCAAGCCTTCCTTCCAATCTCACAAAAGGGAAAGAAGCAGCCCTTTCCCTACAGTCCCGCTAGAAATCTCTGAGCATTAGAATCAGAACTTTCTGAAAGCTGAGCCCGCGGGCTCAAAGCCCTTACAAGGCTCACTCTTCAAATTCAATAAAGATTTCATCAAACAAAACCCAACCAAAGTGAAATAGTACAGAGTGAAGTGTCAACAAGGAACAGGAGTGGAGCTAACTCACATCACTTACTGCATGCTTATTACTGCAGTGAACACAGTCAATATGAAAGAATATCCTCCTACAGTCAGGGGTTTCTGTCAGGAAATGATTAAACTAATATCTGCAAGAGCCACTGCAGCCTGAACCATTTCCCCTCTCTATCAACAGCCTCACTAAAAATAAAATAATATAAAACTTAACTTAATAGAAAAGACATTTAAATGATCTATTAACTCAGGGAGCACACTCTAAATAGAACAAAAGTCACAACTATACACCACACTTAGAAGCAAACACAAAGCATAACCTAACCTACCCCGGAAAAATTTAAATTCTAATCTGAACTGCATTGGAAATGAGGATTGACAGTGTGAATGTGAACAAGTCCATCCTTAGAAAAGAGCCTTGCAAGAAAGCAACCCTCATGTCTTGTCAATGCAACTTATAATGTGAAAATAAATATGCTTCAGTCACTCCAGTGGCCAGTGAACACATCAGGAGCTTTTAGATAAGAAAACATCAAAATGCTAGTAACTAACACTCCTTTCTGTTCTCCAAAATAAGGAAAATACTCATAAACAAGAGCCTTGCCTAATAAACAATGGATTTGTACAGCTGAGCTGGTGATTAGCAGGACAAGGTGAATACAAATAGCCGGCTAAGTGGAAACACAATTGTTGCTTCTCTACTTTTTCCAAACTCTGCAAGACACACTGCTTATCAGCCAGCAGCTGCATATCAAGTGAAAGCTTAAGATGGAGCTGTTCTGCAGCAAAATTCAAACTTACAGAATGCACATGCTTAAAAACAAAAGGCCACATCAACCAATTATACTAAGCACATCTGCAAATTCTAACATGCAGCTAAAATAAGGAGACACGGTCAAAAGACACTGCAATTTCCAATATTCATTTGGTAAACCTTATTCTAAAATATACACGTGACTGAAAAGACAAAAAATACATTGCACAATAGACACCTGGAGTGAACTCTGGAATTAACAACGTATCAAGCTTTCAAAAGTTGCTGTGAAAAAGACAGCAATCTGACCACCACCACCAATGCAGAATTCATCCCTATAATCCCTCTTCCTAAATCAAATCCTGCTCCTTGGAAAAAAGTTTCAGTCCCCCCACTTAAGCAGTAAAAAACTGCAAAACATCTTCATTTTTTTCCTTTCTCAACTGCTAAATTATTTGATTTCTCTAACACAATAATTACATTCATATAAATATTTCACTGCAATATTTCATTTACATTCTTAAAAAAAAAAAAAAATAGAAAGGCCCATTATTTCCAAAATAGCCAGGAAATACAGCTACCAGAACTTTTACACACACAAAACAAGTTACAAAAGGGTCCTGAGTGCAAGGTAAACCAAGAGAGGAAAAACCTACTTCAAGCTTCACTGGAGCTGACAGAAATATTGACTCTACCATGAGCTTTCCCAGCAGAATGCTCCTTCACATCCAAGCTTTTCCTGCACCTTCAACATCCCACCTGTGGGAGCTTCCAAGACTCCCAGGGAATTGGCAACACACTCCCCTTTTGCTTTCACACGAGCTCAGGTAAACCAGAAACCAAAGCTGCCATTTTTCAAGGGCAGTCCTCACTTATCTTTACAGATTAGGTTATTATGTACTATTGAGAAGAGCTTGGTATGAACTTACTTTCTTGGTGTATTTCCCCTTTCAAATTAATAATAAGAAGAGTAATTTTTAAAACCCTGAAAATGCCAACATCAACATTGAGAAACATCAATATTGCCCAATTCTCCAGATTACACTGGCCTGAAGTTTTATATTTTTCCTGCCTCTATCTCAAGTCTTGAGAACAGGATGAAGAGCACAGCAAGGACTACCAGACACTGTCTCACCATCCTTTTTCAACTTCAAATCACTGCATAGCATCAACATATAGATATCTTTTATCTGTATGAGCTTCCCCACCTAAAAACCAGCTGTGTATTTGAAAGGAAGGCTATTCACTCTTCAGATGGTTACAGGACACAGAGTTCCAGTCCATTGCATACTCCTGTGTAAATATAAATTGTGGCACAAATAGATCCCAATTGTGACAAGAACCATCACACCGTCAGGTGACCCAGAGCAAGAGTGCACACAGGAATTTATATTGCTGCTGCATAAACACACTGACAGGGATTGCTGGCATTGCATAACACATCCATTGCTGTTTGTTTTGACATAATAGAGTTGCTTTGAGTCCCGTGAGCTGCCTAGGAAAGAACATTTGAATGTCCTTAGTTTCAGCTGACACTGCCAAAAGACATGTCCTTTCTAGTTTTAATACCTTCAATGGGAGACAATTTGTGATTTCCTTAAGCAGTTCAAAAGCAGAGAAACTATTTGCAGCTATATAATCTCAAAAAAATTTGTGTTGTCTCATAATTTCTTCCTTGGCATTAGATGAATGTACAGAAAGAATTAAAAGAAAAAGGAAAGAATCCTGAGAAACCTTCCCACTTGTCCACAAAACTGTGTCACTTTTCTGTAATTAAGAAGACTGAGAGCAACAGAATTAAATTCTGCTCAGTTTCTGGCTGCCATCAAAATAATAAATACACAGGGCTGGGGATTGACAAGAATGGAACTCACAATAAGCACTTCAGAGCACTCACACGAACTGGTGGGAGATTGCTGAATTTACCAGGGAAATACTCCCTGCTCATTAGAACATTCTGGCAAACACCCCTACTCTACACTAAATTGAAATGTTTACTGAAAAAAGTAACTTTCTGACCTAAATGAATCATTCCAAACACATCACTCTTGCTGCCTGAAATAAATATTCTCAACAAAAAGTCACACTGAGCAAGTTGGTTCTTGTTCAGTAATACATTTTCTGGGATTTTTTTGGTTCCCAAGTGCCAGGATTTTTCAAAGCGATAGCATTTCTTCTACCTCAGCCTTCAGAGCTGACCTTCAGCCTTCAGTATTTAGATGCCACAAGGTAAACATCCTTCCAAAAGCTGGATCCATTAGTGCTGAGCTGTCAAGCCTGGCAGAGCTGACACACTTGGGAACTTCAAGATCCCAATCCAGGAACATTCCAGCTTTCAGAGAACAGGTTCTCTTCATGTTCATTATAAACATAATTCACAGGTCTCACAGACAAATAAATGCTACCTGACAGGAACAGTATTTAACCTAGGGGAAACACTTGAAAGAAACAGGGGTAATTCCTGAAAGTCTGTTAATATAAGTTGTGTATTAGGGATGCTCTAAAAATAACTAAATTTGTTTGGAATTTGATCATGCAAAAAAACCCCTTATTGCACAAAAAAATGCAACACCACTCAAGTGCACAAATAACCATAAATTACAAGCTACCACATGGCCAGAAAATTTATATAAATTATGAAAATATATGTAATAAAAAATAGAAACCTTTTAAATCCATCAAATATTATTAAATACTATAAAGTAGTAACTACAGGCAATAGAAGATGAAGTTGTGACTGTTACATATTTAGGAACATCTCTGACCCAAATATATGATTGGAATTTATCTGCTTAATCAACAAGTGATATTTTGGTTTACTATTATCATTCTGGTCTGCAGACTGAACATCAAGCAAGCCACTCACAAATCTGAGCAGCTGAAGAGAGCAGGAAAAGAACAACTGGGGGAAGTGCAGGACATCAGGGGTGCAAACCAATGGGATCTGAGATAAGTTTCTGTCATGGTGTTTGTACTACATGTAAACCACAGTTATTCCAAATAATGACTGCACGGAAATGGCAGATATACCATGTTAAAAAAACATTAAAAAAAAAAAAAAACAAGCAAAGAAAATTTAAATGTCTAGGTTTTTTTCTAGGGTATTTCACTTCACTTTAAATCCAAGGGGTTTAGGTAGCACACAGTGACCAAGAGCCCAAATATATTTCAAAGTTCCTAGCAAGCAAATTTTCATACCTATAAAGTCATAGGTTTTGAGTTCATTTAGGCTAAGAATTAGAACTATGAAATTATGAAACAGTTCAAGGATATTGAGAGTTAAAACTGAGGAAAACTGACTTGTTTTCACCATTAAACCCAACTTTGGAAAAAACACAGTCACACACCAACACAGATTATGCTTTGCCTGTTCCATGCAGAAAAACACATTGCTTTCAACCTTTCCGTATCTCTGGCATGTGCTAATGGGAAAGAGAAAACTCAGCATGGAGTATGCAAAGAAAAATATTTTCCTTTTCACCTCATGAAACTAATTACCAGTAAGTATCGAGCAGCCTGAAATGACTACGCTAGAAACATGA